CCCCAAAACCCCAAAACCCCAAAACCCCAATTATTCCAGTTATATAGAACCTAGTTTACTTATTAAGGAATTATTAAATAAACTTAAAAGATGAAAATAGCACCTAAAGCTACTGATCTTGAAGTCTCAACAATGAGGCTTAACCACAAAGAGGAGATTCCTGATTCTGTGGATAGTATGGTAATTATTACTCTCCCTTGCGGGCATTCAAGAACAACAGATGAGCTTTCTCAAAGAATTAGAGATCAGATGGATAAGAATAAATTGGCTACATGTCCTTGTTGTAACGAGGAAATTGCAGATGAAATAATCATTTGTGAACATGAAGAAGATAATATCTATTCCCTTCTAAAACCTTCTGAATTTGAAAGATATACAAAACTTTAGAAGGTATCTAGCAGCGTTAGCTGATCCAAACCTTCAAGTGTGACCCGAGAAACAGTGTAAGGCCATTGTCAATATTGAGGATTCTATAAAATCATCTAAAAACACTTCATCTAATAATATTATGAATTGAGTAAACGGTCATAGGTTTTGATATTTATGAAATTACGATCATCAGCAAGGAACTCCTTGCAGTAAAGCAAAGCCATGAAATCTGTTCTACGATGAACCTCGCACTTTAAGATGAACTAATTGTAAATTGATAATCCAAGATTGGTTAATTCATGGCCCAGATACTCTGTTATGATATTCATGAGGTAGTACAATAAGGACGCCAAAGATGGTAATGATCAGCAACCTTGGGTACTTATTGCTGTTTCTCTTTTTACCTGTTCTTTACCCTTATATCATTGTCAAGGTAATTCATAACTTCACCAGTATAGTATTTAGCATGTAAAGGGGAAAGGATATCGCTACTAGGCATGATTAGAGTTAAAAAAGAAGGTAAAGAAAATATTGAGTGGTCATCGGAATGTGTACTCATTGCTTCTTTCGCAGTTGTAATGAGCATATTTCTAATGGTCCTAATATTTTGGATTGCTATGCCAATTTTACCTCTAGCTTACCTTGCCTTAATTCTAAATTTTTGAAAGCAGAGAGATGTAGCAAAAAAGCTAAAGAAAGACTTTGACTCATAACTTAGGAAGTTTTTATAAATATTTCAATTTTTGGTTTGATAAAAGGGGTTTTGGGGTTTTGGGGTTTTGGGGTTTTGGGGTTTTGGGGTTTTGGGG